GACGACAATAACAACACGAATCAATCAGCCAACAAGGCCAATGGGTATCCGCCAATACCAATCTAAAGCAATAATACATTTAACGACAAAATATACCGCAAAACTAGCGCTGAAAGTAACAACAGCAATACTAGCACACATATACAAACACTCAAACAATAAGTAAAAAATTTTTAAATTGACGATTTTAATAGAACTAAACGAAACCAAATTGAACAAAAAAAACCTCTATTGACGACCATTAACCGCAAAATTCGGACGTCTGCAGACAGCCCTCAAAAACACCGAAAAAATCCCATCCATCCATCCGTCCGCCCGCCCGTCCGTCCACAAACAAACACACAACACACATACGCAAACAAACGGCCCACACTGTCGTAGATGAGCAGTCGCGTTCAATTATCCTATCGCTTTACGTTCCCGCCATATGAATAATTAATGTTTTTTGGCAATCTGCCTGTGCAATAAAACTACATTTTTCTGTGCCAGCTTTCTTTTAAGAACCAACTTCCCCGTACAACAGTTCTATTTTTCTTCTTCTATTCATCCCCCTCTTTCCCCGTATCATTTCTTTTCACCTTTCCGGCCTTTTCTTATTTCTCTAATCCAAAATCTTTTAACATCTGTCACGTGCCAAAGTTCCAGCTTTTATAATTTAATTTTTGCTGGAAAACAGAAAAAAAGTGGTCCTTAAGATTAACAAACAATGAACACTAACTCTTTTTTTTCGTCCAAATTATGGCATTTAATCGGTGATAAAAAGACATACAGAAACCATCGATGCAATAATCAATCTAACTCTTTTCCACTGACACTAAAAAAGCAAGTCACGGTCACAGACCCCTATACTAAATGAGGTCCGACATGGCACCTCTGAAGTGTTTGAATACGTGAATTTTAAATTCCACTAAAACGCCGCAAACGGTTGTGCCACATAGAAAATTTCTGACCATTTTCTCAAGTGATGCTCCTTTTTCATAAAAAAATTTCTTTTAGTGAACTAATCTTCTTACCTCTATCAAACTTTTTAGTCCAGCTGAAAAACTAATAATAACATACAGAACCCCTATCCAGGCTTCCACCTAGAGTCTTCAATAGAGACTGCCAACTTCAGGCATTTAAATCAACAGACAAAAACTGATCTTCTTCTCTCACGAAGTCTTTTCCGTACATTTTGTTGTGACTTTATCTAAGTATTCTGTACTAAGAAAAGGGGAAAAAATTTTCAAAAATTTATAGTATCCATTTTAGTCTGTGAACATTTTTTAATTAAATAAGCCGCTCTTCTGACAAAAATATAATCCCAGCAAAAATAACAAGATAACATTCATAGCTATCAATAACGTTTAAAAATCATAATCGAACAGTACGGCAATAAAACCAATAATCCTTAAACTAGAAAAAATTTTCACAACAAACAATGCGGCATATACTGTAAATTGAAATGACATGCCAGTTGTTTGTGATTATCCTACACAGAAAAATGTTATGAAGTACATACCATGAAAAAAATGAAACGCTGCAAAACCTGCTTTCAACAGACTCAGAAGACTACTTCAGTATGCAAAACCAAAATTATTTATGATAGTACAAAAATCTACACAAGGCTACTTCAAATGACAAAGATATGGAATTAAAAACAAAAAGAAGTAAAATAAAATACACATGAACTAAAATGAAGCACGTCTAAGCATTTCTACAGCAGCTTTCAAAAAATTTTTAAAAACTGGTGATCTGAAAACGATTTATCTTCGTATTGTGAGCGCAATAAGCAATCAAAAGAATATTATTTTAGCTG